GGACCCATTATATGAAGACGTAACATAATTATTACGGGAATATTCTTTCTCCTCTTGAAATCAGCGGCAAACATCTAATGATCTCAATAGTGTAGAATGTTGGCATTGAATGTTTTGCATCTATGGGACAAATAACCAGCTAGCCCTAAGCTCCTAAATCCCATGGGCACATTTCCAAATTCCACATCTTGTAACTAAGCAAAGACTTGAAGGGTTGGTCTATATGCAAGATGCCACCAGCAAATTGCCGCTGAGGTGCATAGAGTTTCCAACCAAGGAAAGGCCATAAATGTCCCATTATACCCCAGTTACAGGACCAAGCTAATGTTGCTTTCAAGAAATGGCAACTTCACACGGGCAAAGGGGAGATTCTTAAAAACACGAAAGTTGTTCCTTCATCGACAGATGGGCCATTATTTTCAAGGCAAAGAAGATAGGCAGAACCTGCTCCTAATTGACCTGGGGTAAAATTGTCTAAAAAAAATCTAATCTAAATCATTTCCCACAACTCTAAGGGTGCGTCTACATAGCAAAGTTATTTCGGAATAACGGCCTTTATTCCAAAATAACGATGCGAGTGTCTACGTAGCAAATCCGTTATTTCAAAATAATTTCAAAATAACGGATGGCTTGTTCCGACTTCTGTAAAAACATTCTACGAGGAATAACGCCTCTTCCGAAATAGCTATTTCAAAATAAGGCATGTGTAGACACTGCACTGCTGCGATTTCGAAATAGCCCCTCCCCAGGGCATTCTAAGTTATTCCCCCTGGGGCTCTAAATTGAGAGAGCACATCTACATTAGGGAAGCTGGACTCGGACTCATTTGGAGGCTTCCCTGCAGTGTAGACATGCTATTTCAAAATAAGGTATTTTGGAATAACTATTCTGCAATAGCTTGTTCCGAAAAAACCGTGCAGTGTAGATGTAGCCTAAGTGACTTACGAGCTCAAGTCACATTCAAGTAGGCCCATCTTTCCCAAGGTAAGAACGTTCCTAATTCCCATTGGCTTGGCTGAGAGTTGGGCACTGACGGTGTGTCTACAATGCACTGCAACTGGAAGTTGCGTAGCTTCTTATGATGCAATTTTGAAATAGCTTATTTTGTCATAGGGCGCTGTCTGCACAGCGTCAAATTTCAAAATGAAGCACTGTTCTGAAACGTCCCTTACTCCTCGAGGAATGAGGTTTATAGGGATATCGGAGTATTGAGCACGAAATAATAACCTTACTGTGAAGATGTGGGATAGCTATTTTGGGATACTCTGGTACTTTGGGATAATCCCGAAATAGCGTTGCAGTCTAGATGTACCCTGACTGACCAGAATACCTTTGACTTTCTGGACTTTAAGACAAGTCAACGGGAACATGGAAATGTTACCCCCAGACCCATATTCTGTGGAAGACTTAGATCGACCAAGAGAGTTTGGTGACTACGGGCATGTCTACGCTGCATTTCAAAATAACAAGGGGTGTGTTTACAGAGCACCCTAAACTCGAAATAAAATATGCAATCTGCCTATCTTAGAATCATAGAATCATAGGACTGGAAGAGACCTCAAGAGGTCATCGAGTCCAGCCCCCCGCCCTCAAGGCAGGACCACGCTCCGTCTACATCATCCCTGACAGATTTCTATCTAACCTGTTCTTAAATATCTCCAGAGAGGGAGATTCCACCACCTCCCTTGGCAATTTATTCCAATATTTGACCACCCTGACAGTTAGGAATTTTTTCCTAATGTCCAATCTAAACCTCCCCTGCTGCACTTTAAGCCCATTACTCCTTGTCCTGTCCTCAGAAACCAAGAGGAACAAATTTTCTCCTTCCTCCCTGTGACACCCTTTTAGATATTTGAAAACCGCTATCATGTCCCCCCTTAATCTTCTTTTTTCCAAACTAAACAAGCCCAGTTCATGAAGCCTGGCTTCATAGGTCATGTTCTCTAGGCCTTTAATCATTCTTGTCGCTCTTCTCTGTACCCTTTCCAATTTCTCCACATCTTTCTTGAAATGTGAAATCTTATCTCGAATCGATTTGGAAATAGCTTATTTTGAAATTTGGCACGTCTACGCAGCACCAAATTTCGAAATAATGTGCTGTTTCGAGCCATCGCTTATCCCTCGTGTGATGAGGATGGTGAAGTAGCCCACCTGTTATTTTGAAAAAAAATATTTTGAATCAGTGGGCGGCCTGTGTCAACATGGGGTAGACATGGGGTAGCTAGTTCGGGATACCTCCGCTATCTCGATATAGCCATGCAGTGGAAACATACCCTAACTGCCCCTTTAGGTGCCCAAATCCCAGAGTTAGCTAACACTGGTATTCTCCGAAAGCTGTATGCACTTCCATTTCCTGGGGTCCCCATTCCCTTAATGCCTACTCATGAGGCTCTGTGCACGAACGCTGAGGCCTCTTGTAGCATCCAGATGAATAGATTTCAAGACCAGGATGTCCTGTTGTGATCTTGTAGACTTACCACCTGTATGACACTTTCCACGGAATGTCACCAAAATAATTCTTAGAACAGATCTTTTTTGGGTGGGAGGGGAGGAACATCCAATCCTGATTTTAAAATAGTAAGAGAGGCAAAATCTGCATTGACCCTTGGTTAATTTTTCCAGTGAGTAATTAATCCTGCTGCCAAACAGGTAAGTCTTGGTTGCCGGTCTGAAAGTCTTATTTCAACTTCCAGTCATTGGATCCGGTGAGACCTTTTTCTTCTGGTTGGAAGCTTCCATCACTATGTTTCCATCATTAAGTTTGCAGATGATACCAAGTGGGGAGGGGTGTCAAATGCTTTGGAGCATAGGGTCATAATTCAAAATGATCTGGACAAACTAGAGAAATGGTGAGAAGTAAATAAGCTGAAGTTCAGTAAGAACAAATCCAAAGTGCTCCACTTAGGAAGGAACAATCCGTGTCTCTCACACAGAATGGGAAGCGACTGTCTAGGAAGCAGTCCCAGAAAGGGATCTTGACGTCATAGTGGACCACAACCTAAATATGACTCAGTGTGACACTGTTGTGAGCAACACACAAGAAGTCATTCTTCCACTCTACTCTGTGCTGATTAGGACTCACCTGGAGGATTATTTCCAGTTCTGGGCACCACATTTCAAGAAAAATGAGGATGCCGTTTAGGCAGTCAAAGCCACGGTGTCATTTTATGTTATATATAACCCTGGGTTTCCAGCTTCTGCTCACTATCAATAGAACATTTATGCAATCTCCATCCCTGGAGATATTTAAGAGCAGATTAGACAAACATCTCTCAGGGATGATCTAGATGGTGCTTGCTCCTGCCATAGAATCATACAATACTAGGACTGGAAGGGAACTCGAGAGTCATCGAGTTCAGTCCCCTGCCCTCATGGCAGGACCAAATACTGTCTAGACCATCCCTGATAGACATTTATCTAACCTACTCTGAAATATCTCCGGAGATGGAGATTCTAAAACCTCTCTCGGCAATTTATTCCAGTGTTTGACCACCCTGACAGGTAGGAACTTTTTCCTAATGTCCAACCTAAACCTCCCTCGTTGCAGTTTAAGCCCATTGCTTCTTGTTCTATCCTCAGAGGCCTAGATGAACAAGTTTTCTCCCTCCTCCTTAGACACCCTTTTAGATAGTTGAAAATGGCTATCATGTCCCCCCTCAATCTTCTCTTTTCTAAACTAAACAAACCCAGTTCCTTCAGTCTTCCCTCATAGCTCATGTTCTCTAGACCTTTCATCATTCTCGTTGCTCTTCTCTGAAGCCTATCCAGTGCAGAGTAGAGCGGAAGAATGACTTCTCGTGTCTCGCTCACAAGAGCATCCCAGAATCATGTTTGCTTTCTTTGCAACAGCATCCCACTGCTGACTCATGTTCAACTTGTGGTCCACTATAACCCCTAGATCCCTTTCTGCCATACTCCTTCCCAAACCGTCGCTTCCCATTCTGTGTGCGCGAAACTGATTGTTCCTTCCTAAGTGGAGCACTTTGCATTTGTCTTTATTAAACTTCATCCTACTTACCTCAGACCATTTCTCCAATTTGTCCAGGTCATTTTGAATGACGACCCTATCCTCCAGATTAGTCGCAACCCCTGCCATGAGGGAAGGGGATTGGACTCGATGACCTCTCAAGGTCGTTTCTAATTCTAGTGTTCCGTAATTCTATGATTCAATGATTTATTTCAGAAACTTTCTTCTGATTTCACTAAAAGCAACCGTGGTTTTCCCCGAGGAGCATCATGCCAAGAATGCAAATGCCCTTTTTGACCTCAGAGGCCCAATGGAAATATCTTTACCCCAAACCAATTTTTGTCAGTAGTTTTGGGAGTAAAAGGTCACATGAGCAATTCTCAACACTTCTGTTTGAAATAAGGGAGACATCTTTTTTTAATTAAATCCAGACATCCTTGAATTATAGAGTAAGAGCGGCTCAAATCATGAGAGAAGTTTAAAGTTTTCATTTCCCTTTCTTTATTTTAACTACATGAATTGTCTTTGAATGCCGGAAGGGGATTTTAAAGGAATACATTAAATCATATTTCCTCCTTTGTTTCATCAGCTGTGAAAATATTCATAAAAAATTCTTGGACACACAATACCTCAGGACAGGTCGATCAGCTGTACATTTAAGAACTCCTGGTGAAGCTCAGAAAACATTGTTTCGTTTGAGGTGTAAAGTCGTCTTTGAGCTACACATTTCAAAACAGCTGTAGTAAGTCTACCCACAGGTATCCCGTAATAACTGGAGGTATCCCGAAATAGCTATCCCGCATCCAAAAAACACGTCTTCTATTTTGAAATTATTTTCAAAATAACAGACATACTATTTCGGCATCCCTGTAAAACCTTATTCCACAAGGAATATGGGTTGACTTGAAATAGATGCCCCAAATTTTGAAATGGCCTTTTTCAAAAGAAAATCAAAATAAGATATGAAATTGGTGTAGCGCATATTGTGTACCTCATTTTGGTTTTAGAGAGCAGTCTAGTTGTACCCGGTGTGCTAACTGAATAGCTTCATCCCTGTTTTCCTTAAGGCGTCTTTCACCTCCCTGTTTCTGAGGCTGTAGACAATGGGGTTCAGGATTGGAGTCACCACGGAGTAGAAGAGAGAAAGCAACTTGTTGACATCTGGGGAGAAGCTGGCCTTGGGGCGAAGATACATGACCATGGCCATCCCGTAGAACAAGGTCACCACGATGAGGTGTGAGGAGCAGGTGGAGAAGGCCCGGCGCCGGCCCGTGGTGGACCGAATCTTCAGGATGGTGGAGATGATGTAGAGGTAGGACACCAGGATCAGCAGCAATGGCAGCAGGAGGATGATAGCTGCTCCCACCACAATCTGAATCTCATTCCAGTAGGTGTCGCAGCAACAGTGGCTGGATCTCACAGAAGAAGTGGTCGATCACGTTGGAGCCGCAGAAAGGGAGGGTAAAGACGAAGATGGTGTGCTCCAGAGCCACCAGAGTGCCGCACACCCACGAGCCTCCTGACAGCTGAAGGCAAACCCTTTTGTTCATGATGGTCATGTAGCGCAGAGGGTTGCAGATGGCGCAGTAGCGGTCGTAGGCCATCGACACCAGGAGGAAGCACTCGGATCCAGCGAAGAACAGAAAGAAAGCCAGCTGTAGGGCACAACCCAGAAAGGAGATGGTTCTGCGCGTGGAGAGGAGGTCGGCCAGCACTTTGGGCAGGGTGACGGAGGTGTAGCACATCTCCAGGAAGGACAGGTTCCCGAGGAAAAAATACATGGGGGTGTGGAGGGCTGGGTCAACGCTGATGGCGACGAGAAGGAGGAGGTTGCCCAGCACAGTCATGATGTAGAGGCATAAAAAGACCACAAACAAAATGAGATTCCCATCGCGGTGGCTGGAGAAGCCCAAGATGATGAACTCAGTCACGGAGGTCTTGTTCCTCATTCTCTCCCACAGCACCTTGTACATGGAGAAACAGAAAGGAAAACTGTACGTTGGTTGGGCACAATGAATTAAACCTAACTAGCTATCCCATACACCTCTCTCTCTCTCTCTCTGTCTCTCTCAATCCGTCTATCCCCATCCATCCATCCATCCATCCATCCATCCATCCATCCATCCAAAAACTGTACATTGGTTGGGTACAATGAATTAAATCTAACTAGCTATCCCATACACCTCGTCTCCCTCCCTCCCTCTCCCTCTCTCTCTTTCTCTCTCTGTCTATCCTCATAAACCTCATCTATCTATAGGAAAGGAAAACTGTGCATTGGTTGGGTACAGTGAATTAAATCGAGCTAGCTATCCCATACACCTCCTCTCTCTCTCTCTCTCTCTCTCTCTCTCTCAATCTGTCTATCCTCATAAACCTCATCTATCTATAGGAAAGGAAAACTGTGCATTGGTTGGGTACAGTGAATTAAATCAAGATAGCTATCCCATACACCTCGTCTCCCTCCCTCCCTCTCTCTCTCTCTCTTTCTCTCTCTGTCTATCCTCATAAACCTAGTCTGTCTGTCTATCTATCTGCCTGTCTGTCTCTGTCTGTCTGATATGAATCAGGATTGACACCATTTTGGATCTAATGTCTTGTCACAGCCCTCTAAATCTGGAGTAACTTTCCTGAATTCAATGGTTTTCTACCTTCTCTCAGGATCCCTGCTTTTATATTGGTGTGTGTAAATAAACTCAGTGGAAATACATCCATTCTGTGCGAGCATCAAAGGCGCATATATTTGGATCAATGCTATTATAATTACATAAAGCGTAATCACATAATTACATGAAACAGAGGTTCAACTGGACCTGGTGGAGTTTTTACTTACCCTGGTGGAATTTGTGAGAATCTGCATTCAAGTCTCTCATAGGTCAGTGTCGCCATTTATCTCATTTTCTTCGGGTGTGGGGCACAATCAAGGAAGTTAGGCTGACACACCTCAACCAAGACCATGGATTGGTTTATCCTAATTCTATTGTGTAGACATTCCACCTCTCTACATGAGAAACACATGTTTGGTGTATGTTATTCAGAGTGCTATGCAGATGGCTTCCTTCTTTTCTCTTCTCTACAAGACCGACAATAGGCCATTGACTTCAGTGCCTGTATCCCTCATCACACTTATTTTGTCTGCTCTTTCTTTATCCTCCCTACCTCTATTTATCCACCATGATCCACCCATTAATCTTTCTCTTTTTTCCATAGGTGAAATGTTTACCAATCCTCTTCATTTCCACCAATTTTGCTCTTACGTAAGAACATGAGTGCACAGTGAATCACACGAGTCATCCATCCACCCAAGGGTCCTCCTTCTCACAGTGGCCGGTGCCCAGTGCTACAGAGGGAATGAACACAAAAGAAGAGGGTTAAAGAGAAAATTTCGATATGCAGATGATTGTGGTATGACAACACACACGAGATGTCCAGGGTATTGAGAAAGGGTTCAACAATGACCTCTAAAATATAGAACACTATGTCTGGAAATGGAGACTGAACTCCCGATAAGAATCGAAAACCACGTTGAAAGTGACGTTCTTTGTGAAAAGAGTGAAACATGATTTTACCCCAATGTATCTCAACTGTGCTGCCTGGTTCTTGGACAATTTAGAGAAGGTAGTAAGAGCCTGCGTAGTTCAGAAAGCCAGCTAGATTGTTAGGCTTAATGATTACCATTTATGGTTCAATGTCTAGTTGGCAGCTGATATCACGTGGGTACTTCATTGGTCGGTCCTGGGGCTAATTTGGTTCCTCAGCTTCAGTCATGATCAGGATGTTGGGTTGACTCACACCCTCAGCAAGTTCACAGAGGACACTAGTGGAGGGAGTAGTTGATACATTGGACGACAGAGAAACCTGTACAAACTGTAGAATTGGGCCAAAAGAAATCTGATGAGTTCAGCAAGGATAAGTGCATAGTCCTACACTTCATACAAAAGAATCCACAGCATTTCTGCAGGGGAGGGACCAATTAGCTAAGTGAGTTATGCAGAAAAGGATATAGAAATTAGAGTGGATGAGAAGTTAGAGATGAGTCAACAGTGTGTCCTGGTAACTGCTGATGAGCCAATCTTCCATGAACTTAGCTAATTCTTCTTTGAACCCTGTTATATTTCTGGCTTTCACAGCATCCTGTAGGAATGACTTTCTCCAAGGTGACTGTGCTTTGAGTGAAGAAAAACATCCTTTTCTTTGTTTTAAATATGCTGCCTATTCATTTCATTGGTGGACCCCGATTCTAGTCTTACGTGAAGGACTGAATACAACTTCCCTTTTCACCTACTGCACATCAACTGTGATGTTGCAGATCTCTCTCATTTCCCCCTCTTACTTGTCTCTTTTCTAAGTTCAACTAAAGTTTTTAAGTTGCAGTGGGGGAGGTTGGAGATTAGGAAAAAACGATTTCCCTTGGAGGGTGGAAAATCACCGGGATGGGTTCCCTAATGGTGGAATCCGTCCTGGCTCAACAAAGCCCTGGCTGGGGTGATTGAATTGGGGTTTGTCTTACTTTGGGCAGGGGGCTGGACTCGATGACTCCTGAGCTTTCTTCCACCCTAGGATTCTATGAGTGTATGACTATTCTTGGTATATTTAATTTTGCAATGAATCTGAGATTCCCCCATTTAATCCTAATTTCATGATCAAATAAAATGTTGACAACTTAGCCTTTATGTTGGAACCGTATGTTCCCGTGTTAGCATTTTGACAGGCAGAGATAAGTCAAAACTGTCTGATAATATTGGATTGAAATTTAGACAAAGTCAACATGTTCCCGTGCAAATGTCATCAAAGCAGCCCTTTCTGATGGTGGAATTTTCCACTCGTTTTGGTATTAGCTGCAGGGGAGTCATCCGTGGCTTTCAACTCACAGAGATGTGAAAGTCGGGACTTCAACTTGAAAGTGGAATGCATTTTGGTGGGAAAACAATAATAGAAATGGCACGAGAATCTCTAAATTCAGCTCTATTAGAATAATCAGGAGAAAATTAATGTATTTCTAGTCAAATCAAACAAGGCTCACCTCCTCTGTCGCTTTCTCTGTGATTACCAAAATATTTAGTCATGGATGGAAGTGGACTATTTAAGAGCTTCTTTGGACTCTCCAGGGAACTGGTTTCTGGTGTATCTCAAAGGACCCATTACGTGAAACTATAACACAACTATTCAATGGATATTCTTCCCGCAATTAAATCATTTCCAAACATGTAATGATTTCGATAAAAATAGAATATAGAGCTTAATGTTTTGTGCCATTGGGATACAGATCCTGTTGGCACCCAGGTACCTAAATCCCCTGGCAGATATCTAAATGCCACCTCTCATCACTAAGCAATGACCTCATGGCTTGGTCCAATTGTAGGACTCCTTTCATAAAATGCCATCGATTTTATACTGTTCCCACCCAATGACAAGAGCAGAATGGTCACAACACACGTCTCTTAACACAACTGAGAACATAATGGTTTCCACCCATGACACCTCCACCAAGGGGAGTTTCTTAAAAACAATGAATTTTCATATTATTTTCAGTGTAACTAAGATGATCTCAATGTCACTCTAATTATTATCGGGTAAGTGTTTTTTAGATAATCGATGTGATTTACAAATGTAAGTGTTGTTTATTAAAGTGATTTAGGCACCCCGAATCATGGCTTTAAAGGTATTTTTGTGCATAACTCCCCTTGACTTCAGAGAATTATAGGAGCTTATGGGCTGGCTCAGGGAGGCTAAACCCAGCCCTGCCTCTTCCACCAAGGCCCCGCCCTTTCTCCAGGCCCCACCCCCACCTTGTCCAGGACCCCAGCTAGTCTGTCAGTTGCCCTGTTATCCATTGCAGGACTCCGTTATGTCTTTTAGTCACAGTGTTGCACTTCGAGATTTTTTTACTATGACCCCCAAATCGTTTTCTGTCCCACCATTTCCGGAGGTAGCCTGTCAATATGGCTGGCATTCTTTGTGTTCAGATGTCTACATTTAAAGTCAGACATCTTGAAAAGCAAATGGTTGGCTTATGCAAGTGTCACCAAGAAAATCAATGTCCTCTTCGTTATTTCCAACTCCCTAATTTTTGTGTCATCCACAAATAAGATCAGTGCTGATTTGATGTTATTGATAAAAAAATATTGACTGGTGTATGGCAGAGAATTTATCCTGCAGGTGGCCTTGCTACACAACCTCCCATTCTGCTATGGGTCCCTGTTTACAGTTAAATTTTGAGGCATAACAATTAGCCAGTTCTTAATGCATTTAATGTCAGCCAACTTACTCGTATAGCATTCTACATTTTTAATAAAAATACTGTGCCGTCTCGATACTATGTTGTGCATAAGGCCACGTGTGAGCTGCTAACTAGAGAAGCGAGGCACAGTTTCGCCAACGTCACTTCTGAGTCCGAATTCGGAAGGCCCGCTCAGTGGATACCTAACTCCACACAAAATGGCCAAGGAAGAGGGCCTCCCACATAACTCTTGGTGCACTGGCTGGGATGACTAGTTGCCATAGTACTCAGTCCTTGTTTTAGTGCTCCTCTATCTCATGAGCGTTGAAGAAAGAGAGAGCCTGAAAGGTCCGGCCTAGAATGAGGCCTAAGGCCTAAACTAAAGTCAGGCCCTGTTGGTGTGAATTAAATTTAGCGGGAGTCAGACAATGAGCAAAAGTTACTTATGGAATCATAAAATCGTAGGGTTTGAAGAGACCTCAGGAGGTCATCGTGTCCAACCCCCAATTAAAAAATTGAAAGACAGGCCCTATTGCCAAGACTGTACAGTGGCCAGCATGAACACGAACCCACCACCCCTTTCCTTAAACATTCAGGCTACATCTACACTGGCATGATTTTCCGGAAATGCTTAAAATGGAACAGTTTTCCGTTATAAGTATTTCTGGAAAAAGCGTGTCTACATTGGCAGGATGCTTTTCTGGAAAAGCACTTTTTCCGGAAAAGCGTCCGTGCCAATGTAGACGCGCTTTTCCG